CATATTTTATTCATGGACCTCCGCCGTTCCTTTTCGTGGACATTGTCCATCCCACTATAGATTATCCAAATAGTGAGGGAATAGTGCAGGTAGATCTTAATTTCCATGATATTCAACGTAGTATTACAGTTGGTTCAACAATGTAAGTAATTAGAAATACCATCACATAGGTCCTATGAAAAAAAGATTTGATGTGAGCTACTTTAACAATAGCGTGGAACAATGCTTGAACGTTATTAGTATCCGCTTGAAATAGTTTTTATGAAATTGATCTAAATCATGCCACTGTAGATCTATACAAAATTATAGTCAAGAAGAGAGTTTTTTATGTATTTAACATCTGGTTTGCTAAATTGTGAACGACTTCGAGACATCAAGTGATAATATTTCTGTTCAAAAACCAAACATGGGTAATCTGTCAATATTTTACGAAAAATATACATCGTTTGTTGATATTTAATAATTACTTTACTTTTATTTCATGGAACGGATTATCAAACAACATTCAATAAAACTCGTCGCGTCTATTTCAAATAAATTGCAACGATTGAAAAACCGGTATTTTGGGTTTTGCTAGGTTTTGGCTGGATCTATGAGGATTCCAAGGCATCCCATGGATAGAGCTCGTCGAGCTGCATCTGGAACGCTAGTTGGAACGGTTGGAACGCACTGCTGTGCGAATCGCTGGTGGAATGATTGAGAAAATCCATGCAATTCTTACTGGAAAACCGGTATTTTGGGTTTTGCTAGGTTTTAGCTGGAGCTATGAGGATTCCAAGATATCCCATAGATAGAGCTCGCCGAGCTGCATCTGGAACGCTAGTTGGAACGGTTGGAACGGACTCCTGGGCGAATCGCTGATGGAAGGACTCGAATCCGCTGCCAACTTCACTTACGTGTTTCTCATCTAATTTCACACAGTCTGATTCGTCTGTTTGAGCTCTATCGGTCTATCTGTATTTCTTCTCGATTATTTGGAATCTTTCTCATCGCTTTTGCGGTTTAATCACAATTTTTGCGTGATGTTATTAAGTTGCATTACTCAATTCCATCATACCAGCAATGACGTGTTCTTTATTCTATCACTCATACAAAAATACGTGGAAACTGGTTCTGATCAAAAACCAAACAAGCGGTCACCCACAAAAGTCTAAAGTAAGACGAAATAATAGTTTCTCAACGATAGATTAGGTTAAGTCTTATGTGATCATGTAATAGTGTCATATCTTATTCCACCGGTTTTATAGAATACTCTCGTCGATAGAAGCGATAGTTTTCACTTTCATAAGCGTGAGAGCGCGCATGAGAGTTTATTTTCGAATAAATAGCAATAAATTGTCATTTGACTCAACTGATAACAAAGAAAAATAGAAAAGCAAGATTGTACAAGTAAAAGAAAATGAAAAAATTAAATAGTAGATCTTAGATCTTAGATCTTAGATCTAATCAGAATCGCTATCATTGAGGATTGAGTTGGTCATATTGATCACCGATTCAAGAGAACAATAAGCAATTTGAGTTGCGGAATCACTATTAAGAACAGTTGGTTGGGTGTTTATCTTGTTTTTCGGTGGTCGACCTCTTCTCTTAGTGGTAACAGTTGCGGAACCGGAATGCGCATTGATGGGCAAATCAGCCGATCGAATCTTCAGTTGTTTATTTTACTCACGAGTTTCCACCGCCATGATTAAAGAGTTATCCTCTGTGATGTTCAACCCAGTAGTGTTTTTTAAGCGTTTACCACGAGGTGCCTTTGTCTGAGGATTAACTCTTTCCAATTGTTTTGATCGTTCTGCAAATAAGGTGTTCATAACTTGACGAACAGCAAGAATTGGACTTGAAGGAGCAGAATTAGTATTGTCTAAATTTCAGATTAACGTTTCACTTGTCAAAAGGTATGAGAATTTACTTTGTTCAGCAGACAGTCGAGGAACTTTACGAGCAGTTCGAGGATTTGCAGAAGCTTTTCTTTTTTGTGTTGACTGATCAATTGTTAAATCCAAAGGAGATGACTGAAGAGTGACATACGAATAGGAGTCGGATAAAGATAGTGGCATATCTGCTTCGTCGACACATGTTGGTTGTATAGGGGTTATTTGACTAAACATTTGTGAAAGAGAAGATGGCTGTGGTGGAGAAGCATTCGAAGAATTGCTGAATCGTGTGTTGCGAACACCGAGTGACGACGAACTAGTAGGATCACTTGATGTTGTGCTGCTAGGCGGAGTTGATGACACAGAGGTTGGCGAACGCGGCTGAAGGATGTTCACTGGAAGAGGCTGAGTACTTGATGTGACAGATGATGCTATATTAGCGTTGAGAGCAATTTTGTTACGCATAACGTTTTGATCAAACGGCCAAATACCTACAGAAATATTAGACTATGCATTTTAAGAGCATGAAATGTTACTTTAACTTACCAGAACGTGCAAATGAAGAGACTATTCGAGCAGATGAGAATGCCGCTTTGTCGATGAAAAGTTTCTTCATTAGCCCGGGAAAATCGCTGTTTTTTATCTTTTTGTTTCCGTTTTTCAAATGATTTGAAACTATTTGCGACCAATCTTGTTTCACAGAATTGAAAACAACTACGTCGAGAGGTTGTAGTGCGTGCGTTGAATGACTGGGCAGCATCAAACATATGATCTTGTGAGTTCTTAGTAAATGTAAAATTTTCAAACTAATGTGAGACGCGTGTCCATCGATGACCAAAAGAAGAGGCCTATTCAGATGCGCTGTTGATGGTATGAAAACATTTTCTAGCCAGAACTCATACGTATGGGTGTTGATCCATCCCTGCAATAAAAAGACTACTGTCAATCCGCTACGAAACTGAGTTGTCAAGAAAATCGTTTCGGCATATCTTTAGAAACATCTGTCTTTTCGTGCAAACTATGGCGGACTGATCCATTTCAACTTACTTTTTGTGTTACACCATACTGAGTACCAGGCGGTCCACCTTTACACCATGTGTCCATCAGATTCTTTCCTGAGTAAAGAATAAATGGTGGTAATACTTTTCCATCGGCACTAGTACAAACAAGAGCTGTTCTGTATTCTTTTCCGTTTCCACCATTTGCTTCAAAGACGTGTCGACAACTGGAGTTTACAATAACCCATTTTCCTAGAAACAAAAAACAGTTCAAATCTTGAATAAGCGAGGATGGAATACCTTTTGACTTGCCCGAGAAGCCTGTTTCATCCGCGTTAAAGATTTGACTTGGCTTGTCAAATAAACTATGTTTAGTCATAACAGCTTGAAGTGTATTAAACCATCCACGCCGGGTTTCTTCCGTAAACGACTCCGCACGAACCCGTTCCAGCTTTTCCTGCTTCATCCACTTGATGTCGTCGACGTGTCGCTTAACAAGAGATCTAATCCATTTCACTCCTGGTTTCACACTAATGTTTAATGAAGTGAAATAATCAACAGCGAGTTCAATCGCAGTATCTTTAGCAACGTCAAAACCATAATCCGGTAGAAGTTTTAATAATGAAACGAAATGCGCTTCTTGTTCATCTGTTAGATATGAAGGACGGCCACGACGCACATTGAGACCAGGGAGACGACGATGTTGTCGGATAGTGCTTGCAGGTACATGAAATTCATTGGACGCAGTTTTCGAGTCGAGATTGCTTAAAACAGCGTCACGAAGAGATTGGCGTGGATAATTTGTTGACATGTTTACGAAGAATTAATTTGTAAAACGAGTACGAGAAACAAGCAGACACTCTCTATGATATGATCACCGAATCTAATTTAACCATAAATGGCTCTATCAATTAGGCAGCGTCGGCTATTTATACTGCGTTTAGGGATACATAGACCTAGATCTACTCTTTGTTGGGCTGTCCAATAGTCGAAGATAAACATAGACTAATCGTAATATGAACGAACAATTCGACATCCGACAGAGAGCAGAAAGAGCCATCCTTTGTTCGCCTTTTCAGTAGTCGAAAGTACAGACGGATAGTACCTAAATCGTTCAGTCCGAATTTCGATAGATAGACAAGGGTTTCTTCTTTCCTTCTCCTTCAATAGTCGAAAATACAGACGAATAGTAACACGGTCTAACAGTTCTACTAAATCTGCAGTAGATAGCGCCATTCGGCATTTTTACCGTATACGCTTCTACACAAAAATTCAAGAGCCAGTTTCCACGTATTTTTGTATGAGTGATAGAATAAAGAACACGTCATTGCTGGTATGATGGAATTGAGTAATGCAACTTAATAACATCACGCAAAAATTGTGATTAAACCGCAAAAGCGATGATAAAGATTCCAAATAATCGAGAAGAAATACAGATAGATCGATAGAGCTCAAACAGACGAATCAGACTGTGTGAAATTAGATGAGAAACGTCATCGGTTTCATAGTGAAACTACGTTTTTTCAAGTACTCCTATGTATTTTTGCTGGAAAGATGGAATTCGGAACAGTGCAGAAAAGATGAAAATATCGAGTAGGTCTTCTTGTAACGGCCATTGTTCAGTGATATTTCGCTATTTTTCGCTGAAAAACACATCAACTGATAGAGAAATGTTTGCTCTATTCCGGAATCAAAAAATCAAGTCAAACCGACGAGCACAGCCTGAGATATGAAACAGTTTTTACAACGTTTCGAATTGATGATGCAATAACGACCTGTCACTCTATTTAATGGAAATGTTTTTCTTCATTCTATTCATACTCAAACAATAACAATGATCTTTAATATCGCCCTTAGTTTGTTGCTGCTTGCTTCATGGACACTCGCTGATCCATCGGGTAAAATAAATTATAAAATGTAATAGTTTTTAACAACATTATATTATATTTAGTGCCTGATCTTGATTGTTCATCATTCACATCAGACAAAGATATCATTCGAACATTTCCATTTCGTGTACTGGTCAATCCACCACCATCTACATATCCTAGCTTCAGTAGTTATGCTGTAGTTACTGATCAAGGTCAAGTCATAGAATTGAATTTTACGTCTATAAGCAATATTCCATTATCTGTGTTCTGTTTGAAAAGTTTACGATCGTTATCTATACAATACGGAAGTAATTTAGTTATACCACCAGAAATTGCGCGTCTGTCCGGTACTCTGAAAGTATTTAATCTAATTGGTGTATCTCGTTTATTCACTCTCCCAACTGAATTATTTCAAGTTACTGGTCTACAAACTTTGACTATTTTCGGATGTGGTCTTGCGACTCTACCAGAAGAGATTGGACAATTGAAGTTTCTGAGGAACATCGTATTAAATTCTAGTCAACTTCGATCATTACCGGCTAGCTTAGGCAAAATGCTGTCTCTTTATCGACTAGAAGTAGATAACAATGTTCTACTCACTTCGCTCAATGCTCTTAATGGAAATCGACAATTAAATTGGTTGAGTGCATCAGGTTGTGCTATTGATCAGCTACCAACAAATCTAACAAATTTACAATATATTACAGCAGTGTCCGAATTCCGTGAATTACTAACTCATGAGGAATTCATGAATCCTATTTTTCTCCTACAATTACCTTTATTCATAGGATCTTTAACAACCTTACTCTTAAACGCAATCAAGCTATTTAACAAATCTGCTAAATCCAAGGAACCCAAAGAACCCAAAGAATCCAAGGAATCCAAAGAATCCAAGGAACTCAAAGAATCCAAGGAACCCAAGGAATCCATGGAACCCAAAGAACCCAAAGAATCCAAGGAATCCAAGGAATCCAAAGAATCCAAGGAACTCAAAGAATCCAAGGAACCCAAGGAATCCATGGAACCCAAAGAACCCAAAGAATCCAAGGAATCCAAAGAATCCAAGGAACTCAAAGAATCCAAGGAACCCAAAGAACCCAAAGAACCCAAGGAAGTCAAGGAACCCATAGAACCCAACGAAGTCAAGAAACCCAGGGAAGCATCTTGAGGGTGTGGCCTGAGGGTGTAGATTCCGATGGTGACGATGAGTGTGACTGAGGGTGTGGGATGAGGGTGTAGAGCCCGATGATGACGATGAGTCTGACTGAGGGTGTGGGTGTGGGTGAGGGTGTAGAGCCTGATGATGACGATGAGTCTGGGTGTGGGTGTGGGTGGGTGAGGGTGTGGGTGTGGGTGAGGGTGTGGAGCCTGATGATGACGATGAGTCTGACTGAGGGTGTGGTATGAGGATGAAATTATGAGCATATCGAAACTGTTCGTGGCTCGAAGGCCAACTGAATCATGTGGATAGCTCTAAAGGATCAATGCCTCGCAGGACATGAATATCGTTTACATGCTTATCAGCATATTGAAGTACGACGTCCGTAATAGCATTTTAAGACGGCATTCTAATTTTTCGATTCATAGGACACGCGATTTGTTCTTTGTAAGACAAACATTGAGAGTCGACAAGCACAAACAGTTTATCCGTAGACGTGTGATATTGGAAAAAAATATCGTGAGTGACAGTCATCTTGTCCCACCTTCGTGCAAAACGTATGAGTTTTTTTCTCACAGGCTCGTGAAACCTACTTCCCCGTCTGAATCTGCAGCATTCATTTGCTCATTCGAATTCTTTGAACTGTTTATAGGCAGAATTTCTCGCAGACGATAACCTTCGTTCTAATTTTTGAAACACTTGTCGTTCTGTCGTATTCACCCATCCCATGCATCCCTTGGATTCTTTGAGTTCCTTGGGTTCCATGGATTTCTTGGATTCCTTGAGTTCCTTGGATTCTTTGGGTTCCTTGGATTCCATGGGTTCCATGGATTCCTTGAGTTCCTTGGATTCCATGGGTTCCATGGATTCCTTGAGTTCCTTGGGTTCCATGGATTCCTTGAGTTCCTTGGGTTCCATGGATTCCTTGAGTTCCTTGAGTTCCTTGGATTCCATGGGTTCCATGGATTCCTTGAGTTCCTTGGGTTCCATGGATTCCTTGAGTTCCATGGATTCCTTGAGTTCCATGGATTCCATGGATTCCTTGAGTTCCATGGATTCTTTGAGTTCCTTGGGTTCCTTGGATTCTTTGGGTTCCTTCACTTCCTTGGGTTCCTTCACTTCCTTGGGTTCCTTCACTTCCTTGGATTCTTTGCGATGATAATGCTATGTGTTTGCTGTTATTGCATATATTTGTTATATGAATTAGGATTCATGAATTCCTCATGAGTTAGTAATTCACGGAATTTGGACAGGTCTCATATATTAACATGAATGGAAATCGTTTAACATCGCTGGATAGTCTCGGTTCAATAGCCAATTATGGCACTGCTTCAATGATATTTAGTAATAACAATATTACAAGCCTTCCTACGACCTTAACGAGCTCTTTTACTCTCGAGAATTTAGAATTAGCAAATAATCAGCTTGTTGAATTACCTATGTGGATATACAATGTTCAAATTAAAACTATTAATCTTATCCAAAACAAATTCGATGAGAAAGAGAAAGATTGGATCGTTGGAATGTTTCGTCTTTCAAATGCAGCAGTTTATATTTGATTTGTTATTCACTAACGAAGAATTTTTTGTTCTTGAATAAATTGACGATGACATGACACACAAAATTATAAACCCTAATAGAACAGAAAAAGTATTCGATTTCGATAGATTCGGTGTATAGTTTGGTAACAAATACACTTTCACTTGTGTTATTCAATGGATAGAGGAAAGCTTCACTTAGAGAGAACTGATGGAAGTACGTCAACTTGTGGAAATGATTTCAAAGGAAGGAAACGCATATGGTATAGTGCGTCAGCATAGATTTATGATTCCGAAGATTGTTATCAGCAACTCTCAAAGAGAAACTGCTCTCTAACGTCATTTTGCTCATAAATGTGATATTTTTGTGGAATAGATCGTTCTACTAGTACAAAAAATCATTTTGATGAAAGTTTTCTTGCTGTGTATTTTTATGCACGGATATGTTACATCGTATCAAATTAATCTTCAGTTGACAGAATGGACCAGTAGCACTGAAATCAATACAGATCTACAACATGATTGTCTGTATATTTCAATGTCAAAAGGTCTTGAATTACCATCTACATTATTGAATATACGTGATACGCCACGTAATTTTCGTCAGAAAACCTCATTATGTGTGAGTGAATGGCCATTCTCATGGACTATGGAAGAAAATACACGAGATCAACAATTTACATTTTCTCATCTCTCTAAATTAAATGTCACCGGTCAACAATTATATCATTGGTCAGCATCTATAGATACAATTGAATCTTATCAATTCTATTTGAATCAATTATCAAGTTCTGCGAATATCTCTTTAGCAAACAGAATTTTCTATAATTGTACTACACCGTGGTTTGGATCACAATGTCAGTACTCGTTTCCATCTGAATTGAAAGGCGAATTTTCATCATTACATGAATTTATTCATACAATTTATGCAGCAGTTGAATATAAACCAACTGAACTATCATACTATCAACATATACAGTGTGATCTTGGTTCAGAACTTTTATCTCTCGATTGGAACAACATATGTGATGGTTTCATTCAATGCATCGATGGAATAGATGAAGAATATTGTTGGCGAATAGAAGTAACTGAATGTAAAGACGATGAATATCGTTGTCGAAATGGTCAATGTATACCAGTGATATTTTTCGATGATCATCCACTCGCTGCTGAATGTCTTGATCAATCGGATAGAAGAGCGGAAAATGATAAGTATCTCAGCACACATCAATCATATACATTTCGTCGGCCCACGTTCATCAATGAAGAAACTATGGTATTCAATGATTTGAGTTATCGACGGCTATATTCTTTTTTACCTAATCGAAGATACTATCATATTCGCCGAATGATAACACATGAAACAAGTACAACATCAGATATCTGTTCTTCAGCTCTCTATTGTCATCTTAATTTTTTTGGTTTTGATCAAATAGGATGCAGACTGCGATGTCCAATTCCTTTGGAAAATAAATGTCCTTGGCCGAAAATAATCAATGAATATTGTTTGTTATCAGATATGTTTTATGCTCCTTTCGCACCCATAGTATTTGGGCATATTTATTTAGCGTATTCCAAGCAATATCTTGTACAGCAAATAACATGGTCAAATACACCTGAATATATATGTTACAATGAGTCATTCTGCAATGGTTTCGATTCGAATCAAAATGCAATTCGATTCAACAAGACACTATGTCGTCGTGTTCAAGATGTTTTACCAAATGTCATCAAGAATGGAGATTCAATTGAAATGATTTCGGAATATATTCGTCAAATATCTATTCATCTTGCTAAATGTAATACAATTTTACACGAAAATGTAACATTTTGTGACACTCGAATCATGTATCAATGCTTGAATTCTTCGAAATGTATAGCAAAAATCCGCATTTTTGATCGATATCGAGATTGTGATTATGGCGATGATGAAGACATAGAAAACAGTACTCTAATAGATCAAATATGTTTTACAGAAAAATCTTCAACACATTTTATATGTCCCACTACAAAGAAATGTATTTCGAAAAAACTAATCAGAAATTCGATATGTGATTGCGGTTATTCAGATGCTGCGCATTTTATGTGTCCTGATGAGGATATTGGAGCTAAGCCCATTCAAGAAGTTATATTATTTCCAACAATATGCAATGGTTTTAACGATTTAACTCCTATAACCATAAATAGCAAAAATTATACGGATGAAACAGAATGTGATCAATGGGTGTGTAACAATACATATACACGGTGTAATGGTTACTGGGATTGCAATGATGGAGCTGATGAAATTGATTGTTATCCATTATTATCATACTTAAATTGTTCGGCTCATAGTTTCCTGTGCATCTCGCCCCGTTCACGCGACTTCGTGTGCCTTTCAATGGATCAAGGAAACGACGGTAAAATTGATTGTCTTGGTGCTACCGATGAACCACGATTGTGCCGATATGATACTCAAATCTACGACTACGGATTTTTTTGCAACAATCGCACTAATCTATCACCCGCTTGTATTCGGCGTGCAAATCTTTGTGAACAACCTATACGTGAACAATGCACAAACTATGAAATGAGAAAGTTCTGCCAAATCGATTTTGTGCATGATCTATTCACCAGTAATCTATGTGATCGAGATGATACATCGTTTCTAAGTAAAACTGAGAAGAGAATGTGTTATCTTTTTAGATTTAGCCCCAAGCCTGAAATTATTCATTTTTCGCTTGATCGATTCGAAGCAAATCATGAAGATAAAGGAAAAAATCAGACAATCATATCACCACCATCTCACAAAATTAACGACTCCGTAGTACTAAAATGTCACCACGGTATTCCTTTGAGAGTTACCCTAGACGTGAAGAAAGATTTATCGCATATGACATGTCTATGTCTCCCGAATTATTATGGAAATAGACGTCAATATCAAAACCAACGCATCAGTTTAACTCTAAAGTTTCGAACTTTTTCTGATTCTTGGAACACACAATTTGCTCTTATCATTTCACTTATTGATGATAGTAACAAACGAATAATTCATGATTATGAACAATTAACATATTTTCCCATCCAACATTGTTTAACAACATTCGATATATATTTACTTTATTCTACTCGACCAAAAAATGAATCAAAACAATACTTTATACATATTGATATTTACGAACGATTATCATTAAATTATCGAGGTAGTGTTCTTATAGATATACCATTTCTCTTTTTACCTGTTCAACGTATCGCCAGTTTATTAAATATTCCATATAAAAATTACGATATAGAAAATTGTTTCATGTCAGAATGTCAACATGGTGTATGTATTCGATATTTTGATGATTTAAATCAACGAACATTTTGTCGATGTCAACCCGGATGGACTGGACAATTTTGTACAATTGAACATCATTGTAGTTGTTCATCTGATTCGTTATGTCACGATATTTCAGCAAACAATCGTTCGATTTGTGTTTGTCCAGTACATAAATGGGGACCGAGATGTCTAATGGCTGATGAAATATGTCAACTAAATAATCCTTGTAAGAACAATGCTAAATGTATTCCTTTTGATCAACATATTTCACCTGGTAAAACATTCATATGTATTTGTGAAGATGGATTTTATGGAGAACATTGTGAATTATCATCTACTAAAATTATTCTATCATTTTCAAGTAATATTGAGTTATCTACAACAATGTTTATTCATTTCATTGAAGTAAAAACAAAACAAGCACCAGAACGAGGAATGATCCTGAAACGAATTCCAGTTAATGGAGGCCCAATAACAATGTATTGGTCTCGAATATTTCATATAATTATTATTGAATTACTCACAAATCGTTATCATTTGATTTATGTAAATAAAGAAGCTAATAAATCTCAGGTGATTCAAAAGGTAATTAAGTCATCTGATTATTGTCCACACGTTCGAGAAGTATTCGATGACACTTTTGCTAATCTTCATCTAATTCGACGTATCAAGTATTTTCATGTGCCATGTCAAAATAATTCTCTGAAACTTTCATGCTTTCGTGATGATGATTATTTCTGTTTGTGTGTTCAATTCAACAATCAGCGTCAAGCGAATTGTTTCGAATTCAATTATACATTAAAACGAGATTGTTCTGGTCGAAGTACATGCGAAAATGGAGGTCAATGTTTACAAGATAGTTCAAGTTGTCCACAAGCATCAACATGTATTTGTCCAACGTGTTTCTATGGATCACAATGCCAATTTACTTCAAATGGACATAGTCTTTCACTCGATGCCATTCTAGGTTATCAGATTCAACCGAATGTCTCCTTGGCACATCAGCTAGCTATTGTTCAAGTAGGTTTAGTTCTTACTATTATCATAAGTTTGATAGGATTTACCAATGGTATATTTTCAATAATCACATTCACACAGAAGCATGCAAATAAAAATGGTTGTAGTATTTATCTTCTGGGTACATCGATTACTACAATTCTAATAACAAGTATCTTTCTACTTAAATTTGCTATTCTTTTCTTCGCACAATGGACATTTATGACAAATCGAATATTTCTACGAATTCAATGTTTAACTATCGATTACTTTATGAGAATAGGTCTGAATATGGATCAATGGTTAAATGCTTGTATAGCTTTCGAACGAGCTGTTATGATGCGAAAAGGAATTCGATTTGATAAAAAACAGAGTATAAAAACTGCCAAATCGAGAATTATCATCGTTTTTATAGTAGTAGTTCTTACAAATATTGTTGATCCTATTCAACGACGACTTGTTGAAGATAATACTAATGATGAAAAACGTTTCTGGTGTGTTCTTACTTATTCCTCAACTGTTCAAATTTTCAATATGATAGCAAATGTATTTCATTTTTGTTTGCCTTTCATAATCAATTTGGTATCTACATCCATCATTATTATTGATAGTACACGTTTAAAATCATCTGTACAAGCTGGTCAAGGACGTAAACAACGTTTAATTAAACAATTACAAGAACATCGACATCTATTTATTTCATCCTTTCTTTTATTTATTCTAGCAATACCACGTTTAGTTATCATATTTTCTAGAGGGTGTATGAAGACAATCAATGATTCCTGGTGGTTTCTAATGGGATACTTTGTTTCATTCTTTCCACCGATGCTTAATTTTATTATATTTGTTGTACCGTCTAAAGTGTATACTCAACAGTTTCGCACTACTATGTTGAACTATCAACGAACTATAGGACGACGTTTACGTTTAACACAATAAAGATAAAGCCTATTTGTTTCGTTTCTTTTCTTTTCAGATATGCGTTTATTTTGGATTTTACTTTTATTCTTTTATATATTTTCAAATGTTCATGCTTTAATGTGTATCAATTTCGATAAAGAGGAGTATGTATCTATGATTGATTTCGATCGATATGAATTCGAACAGCTTGTTGGTCAATTCGATATGGTTGGAAATCAATCTGAATGTCGTATAAAAATCATAGCGGGTCATGCTGATCAAACAATAATATTACAGTTTAGTAAAATACTTCAATCAGAACGAATGTCTCCTGGAATAGTTTATTTCAACACAGAAATCATCTACAAGAATAAAGATAGCATAGAGTATGTGCACGAACTGTCAACTGTATGTTCAGGAGTTGATGGTTGTGATAAAAGATTCATATTCGAGCATGTTGATTGGTTACTTCAAACACAATATGAAGAATTCTTTAAAATCACAGTTCGACTACTGCAGGGTGGTGACGACGACTTACGTAAGTATATTCTTATTTGAGATGAAGAATGATTTATAATTGATATTCTTAGAAAAATGTATCCAGTGTGCTAGTGGTTTTTGTGCTGCTTATTGGTCATCATCCAACGAAAGCTACACTGCTCGTGCCTGTAACAGAGAACCAAAGGCAATGATGCATCTTATGAATGATTTTAACATGAGAAACTACGAAAAAACTCGCTCTGTGTACTTCTTTTGCGGTTACAATTATTGTCACGTTGATAGCTCAACAAGAAAACTTCGAATAGCCATCAAGGACCATTACGATCTTTCTCCACTATGGAAGGTATTAAGTGCTCAAACTGAATCAACCACAACTTCGGCAGTTAACTTCACCTTGCCAAAATATTCGACTAAATTGACGACAACGATCATTACTACTTCAGCAAAACCAACAGCATCAGATTATGTCATTCGTACAGAAACTGTCTCTTCATCTAGTAGCAATGAGTCTAACAATGGTATTACATGGCAATCTGAAAACACAATCATTATGACAAGCTTCAATGCAATGATAATTCTATACTCAAAATTTGTACTGTGAAAGTGAGAGCGACACTTTAATGTTTGTTATATATAGGGCATGTTCATAGAAAAATAAAGATTTTTATTGGCGCAGAATAAAAAATTCTGATAGAATTCACTTCAAGATGGTTTTTCTCTTTCTGAGATATTGTCTAATATTTCACACAGAGAAAAACGATGCAACAAGATCGAGCAACACAAACTGATAGACAACGTCGATCCCGGGAATTCTTCGGTTTGACAGTGAAAGATATTCTAATATTGATTACCTCACTAATTCTTCCTCTTTTTCTTGGTATTTTCATTATTATAACTACAACAAATTATCAAAAAGAAGCTATTCGACAAAGCAAAAGAGATTCCTCACTCCGAGAACAAGAATGGCAAATCGAAAGTAGTCGAAATGAACGACAATGGAACATTGCTAACAAAAAAATCAATTCCAACAATATATCGCACATGAAAAATACCGTGACGAAATACTGATANACCTCACTAATTCTTCCTCTTTTTCTTGGTATTTTCATTATTATAACTACAACAAATTATCAAAAAGAAGCTATTCGACAAAGCAAAAGAGATTCCTCACTCCGAGAACAAGAATGGCAAATCGAAAGTAGTCGAAATGAACGACAATGGAACATTGCTAACAAAAAAATCAATTCCAACAATATATCGCACATGAAAAATACCGTGACGAAATACTGATATCATACATCAAAGAAATAGGTGATCTCTTAAAAGAAAACAACGGTTCACTCACATCAAATCCAATCGTAGGTAGTACTGCTCGGTCAAAAACTTTGAGTACTATTCGACAACAAATCTAGTCAATTAACAATTACAAAGCAAACCCAAGCACTAGATATTTCATCAATAGAACTGTTCAAAATCAGCAAGAGTACCTTTGAAACTTTACCTACAACTGGTAGATTATCTTTGATAGGAATGTATCTATATAATTGTACGCTTAACAATACTGTTAGGGCGATGTGATGTCGCCCTGCTCTCTCTTCATCAGATTCTTTCTCGCCTTGGTTCTCGTTCGTATATATGTACACCGTTTTCTGTATTAAACACAAGAGTTAGAGAATAAACTCGGACGAAGATCGTCCACACTACCATCTCCCGTCTTTCTCTCTAGCAACATTCAATGATTGTAAGTGTTTTAACGATGAAAGTTGAATCCAAAACGTAAATAAATGTCATTAAAAGAGAAGATGCCACGTAACGATAAGGATCGAAGTTGAATTAAAGAACTTAATGGAAAATTTGAGAGAAAATTTTCAATTTGTTTCTTTTCTTTTAATTTCAAAGATCGAATATGAAAAATATTGATTGAGGAATAAAGATTTTTCTTGAAACATTCATACTTGGCTTGTTCGTTTAAATTTAAATGCAGTTCAATTTGATTAAGAACTTCATTGATGTGTTGATTTATAAACCATGAAATGAATACCAGACATCATTAATATGAAGATAATCAAATATTTCTCGTCATAATTAAACTGAAAATGATTCAATTGTATTTGGATATTTATCGGACATTCTGATATCGACTTTTCTCTTTCTGCGTATAATAACAAATGAAAATGAATTTTCTTCTATATATATATATATATATATATATTTAGACAAGCACGCGGGATTCGATACAAGCTGTAGTAGAGAAGAGCAAAAAAGAAACGAATACAATGTAAGGTCAAATAAAGTTAAAGTATTTAAACGAGAAGTTTAAAACGTTGAACCCGATTATTATTTTGATCGCTAACATAAAGATATGTTTCATCAGAATTTAATGTGAGTCCAGTGGTTGCATTGAACATTGTCGAATCTTGCCCGGCTATTCCTGTACCTGCAATAGTGACTCCTTCTGTATCATTAAGTTTCCATCGTTGAACACGATGATTATTTGTGTCTGCAATGTAAATATAACCAGTTTTGGATGACACCCAAACAGCGATCGGACTATCTAACTGATGTGGACCTAAACCAGCTCCATTTCCTCCTGCCACTGTAATTCCAATGGAACTATTCATATGAAATTGTTGGATACGATGATTACGAGTATCACAGACAAATATTGATGAAGTATTTTGATCAAAAAAGATACCACGTGGAGCATCCAAATGTATCGTCGAATTACCATTTNTATAACCAGTTTTGGATGACACCCAAACAGCGATCGGACTATCTAACTGATGTGGACCTAAACCAGCTCCATTTCCTCCTGCCACTGTAATTCCAATGGAACTATTCATATGAAATTGTTGGATACGATGATTACGAGTATCACAGACAAATATTGATGAAGTATTTTGATCAAAAAAGATACCACGTGGAGCATCCAAATGTATCGTCGAATTACCATTTACATTATAAACACCAGCAGCAACAGTATTATTATTTCGTAAGATAACATGACGATTATAAACTGCTGTATATAAATTACCGTACTGGTCCAAAGTAACACCATCCATTTTACCTTCATTAGCAACAACGACACTTTGGCTTGCATTACGTAACCAAAGTGCTACACGTTCATTATTGTAGTCACCAACATAAATATTTTCATCATTATCAACAAAAATACTCCAAATTCTAGACATTCGAACGAGATTTGAACCACAACCAGTCCCTCCAGCCACTGTAGTACCTGCACGAGAACCAAAGTCGAATCGTTGTACGCGACAATTGTTCGAGTCACCAACAAAAAGGGTATTATTTAATGGCAAAATATAGATGCCTCGTGGTTGACCAAGTCCTTGAGCATCAACGCCATTTGTTGCATTATCATAGCCAGCAATTGTTGTACCAATTAGTAAATCATATGCTATAAAACAAGAGAAAACTTATCATTTCGATTCTTTTTCTAGACATATCAATCACGCTTACGACCACATTGTTTGAACGGTAAACAAATCAAATTAAGATCAGTTCGACACATACTTGTATTTTGTGAACATTTTGCACCGAGGATAGGTAATTGTGGCTTACACATAGAAATTAATGCATTCCAATAACTATGTGGTATACACTGATAGGTTGAATCGTTGCCACATATAAGATAACGAGTCGGCTGATGATTAGAAGAACAAGATTGGCCATATTGTGCGAAAAGTTCAGATGACAATTTAACAATGCCAACAATGGATTGAGGTGACGAAGAAACATCAATTGATCCTACTGTATCGATATCACCCTCGAATAATCGACATTCCTTTGACATGAATACTTCGTAGTCAAATATACTACACATTATATTTTGATTACAGGCAAGAGCACATAGCTTTGATGTACTCGTTAAATTTATCGAAAGAATTTGAGCTGAGAAATTGGCAGGAATGTATTTTTTGTTTGAATTTGTGAGAACGAACTGACTATGAAAGATTCCTTGTGAATCAATCTCATTCATCATATTAATAACGACAAATAATTGCCAAATAAACATTCTGAAACAGCTAACTTGTTTAATGAAATTATGAATTGTATATTCAAAGAAATGCTTTGTCAGCTAAATTTATAATTGTTTCTTGTGATACAANTTGTGATACAACAAAGAAATTATATATATATATATATATATATATATCAAATACTCGTTTATTTAATGGTGCAGAAACTGAATTAGTAATTCATGGAATAAGAGGAAACACAATAATATTGTTATTCGAATGAATCAAAGAGTAAATAAAATGTACTTACAAATCATTTCTATACTACAAAAAAATGATATCTATGGATATAGAGTTGTTGTATTTAAAAACGAACTATGGTGCTTGCATAGTTTTTTCGTTTCGATAATCATACAGAAAAACTTCCCTGTTTTTTGATTGAGAAAGTAGATGACATTTTCTACGGCAATCTTTCTTACTAAAAATACCTCGCCAAATAAATTTTTCTCTAACTTTCGGACGTCAATGGTTTCTAATTGTGTTTTATTGTATTTTGAGTACATATATTAAGAATGAAGACAGTTGCTCCAATATCAGTATAACGTTTAACAACATATGACGCAGCTTCTTTTTCTTTTTTCCCTCGACTGAAAGGAGGGTCATGCAGGGTGTGGGTGAGGGTGAGGGTCGAGGGTAAAAGGTCAAAGA